CCCGGCACTTTTCCCTGCAACCGCAGGAAGTGCTACACCTGCCCCCACACCTCCTCCCTCACCCCCATCCCAGGCCCCAAGAAGACTTTCCACATCAAGCAGATGTTCACCTGCACATCTGCCAATGTGGTATACTGCATCCGCTGTACCCATTGTGGCCTCCTCTACATCGGGGAAACCAAGTGGAGGCTCGGGGACCGCTTTGCAGAACACCTACGCTCGGTTCGCAATAAACAACTGCACCTCCCAGTCGCGAACCATTTCAACTCCCCCTCCCATTCCTCAGACGATATGTCCATCCTGGGCCTCCTGCAGTGCCACAACGATGCCACCCGAAGGTTGCAGGAACAGTAACTCATATTCCGCTTGGGAATCCTGCAGCCCAATGGTATCAATGTGGATTTCACAAGCTTCAAAATCTCCCCTCCCCCTACTGCATCCCAAAACCAGCTCGTCCCTGCCTCCCTAACCTGTTCTTCCTCCCACCTATCCCCTCCTCCCACCTCAAGCCACACCCCCATCTCTTACCTACTAACCTCATCCCGCCCCCTTGACCTGTCCGTCCTCCCTGGACTGACCTATCCCCTCCCTAACTCCCCACCTACACTCACCTTTACTGGCTCCATCCCCGCCTCCTTGACCTGTCTGTTTCCTCTCCACCTATCTTCTCCTCTATCCATCTTCTATCCGCCTCCCCCTCTCTCCCTATTTATTTCAGAATTCCCTTCCCGTCCCCCATTTCTGATGAAGGGTCTCGGCCTGAAACGTCAGCCTTTCTGCTCCTATGATGCTGCTTGGCCTGCTGTGTTCATCCAGCTCTGCACCTTGTTGTCTCGGATTCTCCAGCATCTGCAGTTCCTACTATCTCTGCTTTATAAGACTTTGGTTCGGCCAAATTTACAGTATTGCCTTCAATTCTGGTTGCCACATTACAGGAAGGATGTGGAACCTTTGGAGAGTGTGCAGAAGAGATTTACCAGGATGCTGCCTGGATTAGAGGGTACAAGCTCTAAAGAGAAACTGGACACGAGGATTGTTTTCTCTGGAGCAGCAGAGGCTGAGTGGAAACCTTATAGAAGTTTATAAAATTACAAGAGGCGTAGGTGGGGTTGACAGTCAGAATAATTTTCCCCAGAGCTGAAATGCCTAATACTAGGGGGCATTTAAGGTGAGAGAGGGAAAGTTCAAAGGAGATGTGAGGGGCAAGTTTTATTTACACAAAGAGTGGTAGGTGCCTGGAACATGGTGTCAGGCCTAGTGGTGGAGGCAGATACGATAGGGGTGTTAAAGGAACTTTTAGGTAAGCACGTGAATAAACAAGGAATGGAGGGATAAAGACCATGGCAGGCAGAAAGGGTTAATTTAATTTGGCGTCATGTTCGGCGCAACATCGTGAGCCAAAGTGGGTACTGTTCTATGTTCTATTGAAAGTAGAGTGGGACGCCATCTCTCCCAGTATGCAATGGGAGAGTCATGCTCGATTTTTACACTCAGGACTGGGACTTGAACTGACAGTTCATCGATTCATGGGCAAGGGTGCCAGCCACTGACCAATGATTGACAGCCTGTGTGGCTGGGAAATCTTGGCGTTAATGTGCCTGATGGGTTTACCATGGTAGCTGCGACTAACTGGGAGTGACCCTGTCCAGTATGGATGGGCTGAATTATCAGAATCCGTCAGTGTTCCCAGTTCTGTCTGTTGGATGCTCCTGATAGTCAAGGGAGGTCCCTGTTATTTGCTGCTCATTAATATGCACGCAGCGTAAATCACCAAATTAGATAGTGACAGAGGCTCTGGAGGAAGCAGCTGGAGAGGGGGTGGGTGTTGAGCAGATGGGTGGCAGCAGACATGTTATCTTCTTTGTGTAAGTTGATGACACATGTTAACCATTTCTTGATCATTTCTGGGTAGGAACTGGAAGTTTACTGAAGCAAGGTAAAGAAATACGGGTGGCACGGTGGCACAGTGGTTAGCAGTGCTACCTCACAGCGCCAGGGACCCAGGTTCGATTCCAGCCTCGGGCGACTGTCTGTGTGGAGTTTGCACATTCTCCCTGTGTCTGTGTGGGTTTCCTCTGGGTGCTCTGGTTTCCTCTCACAGTCCAAAGATGTGCAGGTTAGGGTGGATTGGCCATGCTAAATTGCCCATAGTATTCAGGGAGGTGTAGATTAGGTGGGTTATAGGGGGATGGGTCTGGGTGGGATGCTCTGAGGTTCGGTGTGGGCTTGTTGGGCCGAAGGGCCTGTTCCCACACTGTAGGGATTCTATGATTCTGTGAAATACAACTTCACTTAACGAGCTGTGTTGTACCTGACTCAAGAGTGTTTGATGGGAGCAGTGTAGTGGGAGCCAATTTAAAAATACTGCCCATGTTTAGAGCAGTAAAATCTTAAGATCTCACCAAACAATTACCTACCTGTCCAGCTAATTAAGGATTTGAAAAAAAAACAATATCGCCTTCCTTCTCTGCATCAAATTCCCAAGTTAACACTCGTACCTTATCACACTTGGTCTTCAACAATGGCTGTATGATAGCAAAACCTATCCACTTCTATAGTGAATTGATGACTAACCCTTCTAACCCATTCTGTAGTGAAATAACTCCACAGAAGCCAGTATTCTGTCACCAAGTCACCCTTTATTTACATGTGGATAATACATGACTCAGAGCCAGCTCTCAGAGTGAACAGAACCTCTGACATTCCTGCTTATTCAACCTATTTTCCTGATCATCCTGTTTGGAGATGTTACTACAGACCTCCGGAGCAGGTGGGGCTTGAACCAGGTCTGTCGGTCCAGGGCTAGGAACCGGAACTGAAACAGGTACCACAAGAGGGCCCCACACTCCTGTTTATATCTGTCAGCCAGGGCTCCCTGATTGGACCAGGTTAACAGCCCCAATAAGGGAACTCATATTCTATGAGGTCCATCTGGCTGACCCCATTCCAATCACTATATGTATCTTCCCTGGGAGTCTTTGATAAGACAGTGTAGAGGAAAGTTCATTTTGAATCTGTCAAGAGCAAGAGTAATAAATAAAGTTCTAATTTCAATGACCAAACAAACTCTGACTTAGAACTTTAAGACTGCAAGCTACATATAGAGCCGAAGTAAAAACCGAAAGAACTGCAGATGCTGTAAATCAGGAGCAAAAGCAAAGTTGCTGGGAAAGCCTAGCAGGTCTGACAGCATCTGTGGAGGAAAAAAACAGAAAGGGTTCTGAGGAAGGGTCACCAGACCCGAAACGTTAACTCTGTTTTTTCCTTCATAGATGCTGTCAGACCCGCTGAGCTTTTCCAGCAACTTTGTTTTTGTACTTAATGAGCCTGTTTGACACAAAATACTCAGCACTAGCAATTATTGGTTAATCAACTGCAGGAAACTGCCTTCACAACTACAACTTGGGTGTGAGTCATTGATTCACTATAAAAGTGGATAGGTTTTGCTATCATACAGACAATGTTGAAGACCAAGTGTGATAAGGTACGAGTGTTAACTTGGGAATTTGGTGCAGAGAACGAAGACGATATTGTTTTTTATATATTTCTTTCAAATCCTTAATTAGCTGAACAGGTAGGTAATTGTTTGGTGAGATTTTAAGATTTTACTGCTCTAAACATGGGCAGTATTTTAAATTGGCATCGGGAAGATATGAGCATTGCATTAAATTTTTAGCTTAACTGATTAAATAATCTGATATAACCACAAATAACAATTGAGTGACATTTCTAAATTTGAAACCTGATTAATTCAATTAAACACAATAAAGATGATAAGGCAGGTAATGTGTTGCAGCTGTAGCATCTGGATGCTGGTAGACATTAGAATGATCCACAACTAAAGCCTTTATCTGCAACTCAAGGAACAGCAGTCTGAGTTAGTGGGAACTGCCGATGCTAGAGCCTGAGATAACAAGGTGTGGTGCTGGATGAACACAGCAGGCCAGGCAGCATCAGAGGAGCAGGAAAGCTGATGTTTTGGGTCTGGACACTTCTTCAGAAATGGGGGAGGGGAAGGGGGCTCTGAAATAA